AGTTGATCAGTAATTGGATCGGCCGATTCTTCATACAAATTAGATTCGGGCCCAACTATCGTCTGAAAAAAGTCTGTAGACTGCGGGTAGGCTAAGCCGAATGTGTTGGAAACTTGGAAACATGTGAATTATTGCCAGCTGACGCATCCGTTGTAGTTTCCCCATTGAAGTGCTTGTAGCGGCCGGTGACATATTTCATAACGATAAGCCGATGCCAGTGTCAGCAGGGCTGACGTAACCAAGTTCAAGTTTATATTGCGACAGAAGGGATTTCCTTTTCATTTTCTATACCTTTAATATTAGCCTAGTCGGCCGTTTGGTGTAGTGGTTCGAAGCAGACTACTATTCTGGAGGTAGCGGGTTCGATTCCCGCACAGTACAAACATTTGTGTGCATGAACATATTTGTTTGTATTGGACTGGGTGTTTTCTATGTATAATATGTATGTATTTACAAAAAAAAAAATTTAAGTATGTTTATATCCGTTGTCTAGTACCCATAGTACAAGCTTTGCTTAGTTTGGGACTAGAAGCGCAGTGTAAAATGTCCAAGGATATTTATTTATATTTATTATTATTTATTTAATATTATAAGGTGACCATAACCATGAAAGTTGCTATTTAATATTTAGATCTTTGAGAACTTTTTTGACAGTTTGCAAGACCAATAGAATCGGCCAAATAATGTAGTTGTATAGTGACTGTGCAAAGAGACAGACAGTTCGGTTGTATCGGTGTCAAACTTCGTAAGTTGCCATGACTGTACGGATTATTATTCTAATACGAGTATTATGAATCATTATCAATATTATCAAATTGCTTAATAACTGATATTGCGGGAATTCCCCCTTATCGATAAAGGTACTTTAGACAGGTGCTCGCACATTGAAAGAACGTGATATTGAAATATTTATGCAAATGCATCTTACTTAAGTTTTTTTTTCTTTTTTCACACTTACGGCCGAATACTGAAACGCCATTTAAATATTTGACGGCTTCTCAAATAGTTAAGCAGCTCCTAAACTTACATTTCGCATACTCAAAACAATATCTGAGCAGTTCTCAATTTTTAAGCACCTCTCAAATTAAGTTGCACTCAAACGCCACTTAAATGAATTTTCGCATACTGAAACGCCATTCAACGCTAAGCATTACTCAAACAACTGTCAAATCGTCTTAAGCAGCTGTTAAATTTGAGAGTGCTTGCGCGGTATCTTAAATCCTATTGTTATACCTAAAACGACCTAAATAGTGGTAAATAATGTGTGTCGTCGTTATCATTTCTTTCGAGCCTCGAGGAAATATCTAGATCTAATCGCAGGAACGCAATAAGGCTGAACGCTATTGAAAAATATTATTATAATGACATGCAATTCCGAGCGAGGTTCCGCGTCTCTAAAGAAACGGTGTTGTTTCTGGATTCATAATTTGGAAGCTCTTTGAAACCCCTCACCAAATGCCATACAACCAGTGGACCAAATACTTATTATAACCCTACTGTTCTACGCAACGGGAAGTTATGAACGTGTACTAGGTGATATCTTCCACATCTAACAGCCAACTGTGCATCGTATAGTGCACGAAGTAACAACCAAAATAGCTGCTATGAAATCGCTTTACATAAACATGCCTATTTCTGAGGATTAAGGGGACATCGCATAGCAGCATTTCCAAGAGTTGTTGATTTGTCAATTTGATGCTCTGTCAGTCAACAATGATAAATGTCAATTGTGGTTACGTTTCGGTCCACGATCGCCACTTAATAGATTTCAACAATAAAAAGTATCATATTTAAAATTATTTTTTTAATTAAATAAAAATGCAAGCATTATTATTTTTATATGATAAAACGAGATTTATATATAATAGAAACTAAAAATAAACTGTTCTATGTTAAGTTGATTGAGTATATTTCCATAAAAGACAATACATAACCAAACGATGCTGCGTGTAATGGATAAAAGATGATAACTTATCATTTGTGTAAATGAAAACATACTTTTTTTGGTAAATGTTGCCATTATGTAAACATTTGAGAGCTGCTTAGCTGATCACGGCTTCAAATCCGTTGAGTGGCGTTTGAGAATACCATTTAAAATTGAAGGATACTTAAATTTAGGAGCCCGTCAGCTGAGTGACAGATTTGAGTAGTGTTTCAGTATTCGGCCGTAACCAGCTCAATTTTTTTACAAAATAAATACTTTTTTAGCAGTAAAAAACAAAACAATTTCGAAAAAGAACTTGACAGAAATATCTTTTTAAAACATATCTGTAGATGAACACTGGCTTAAACGGTTCAACATATTCCGACAAACTTTAAGCTGTCAGCCCTATCAGTCCACAGACCTTATCGGCAAAGGTCCGGTTCCTAAAACGGCCTTAATTAAATTATTTGGCCCGTGTCCTGGTATGCAGCTCACTTCCTAATTCCAGCATTTGGACTTCCATTCACTAGTTCATTCAGACGTTTAATTTGGACGCAATTATTAAAATTACATGAACGATTTGAGTCTGTTCCACCACCAGATATTTTTAGTTTTTTTACGTCTATGGCCAAGTATTTCAACTTGGTGCATTGTATAGGAGTAAAACCTTATTTAAATCGTTTTTCAATTCTATGATTTAAGTGTAACATTCAAGTTAATATGTAGTTATAAAGTGCAGATGGCTTTATGTATGTTCATTTAAATATTTCAGGATTTTCAGCAATATTGAAGGGATACTTACCCATTTTAGTTTTCATTTCGACTTCTTTAGCTAGCTGGTGGCATTCTTATGTAAGAGTTATTGAGATAAGCGTCAACAATCAAATGATAACATAGCAAACGACTTAAGTATCAAAACAGTAAACAATGAATCATTTTAAAATAAATCATTTGATTTGGTCGCACTTCAATTTGAACCATAACCTAATATGGTGTTTGTCACGGATATCGTGGCATTGACAAGCAATTTGATATTTCAATGTTAATGTGAAAAGTCCAAAACAAGATATCGCAAGACTTTGGAATTTATAACTCAGATAACAAAATAATGACACTAATGATAATTCAAAATAACGTAATAAAAAATAATTGCTGTACAATGTCAATCGGCTAATAAACTTGAACACAATCACTTTCAATATTTTAATACGAAAGTAATCTATAACATTCCATTATATAACCCCAATAAAAACTACCTAATATGCAATATAGTTCTTTAACATTTTGCTTCCTCGACTGTTTTGTTTAAATTATACCAAGTTTGCGGAATAGGAACCATTATTTTCTTTATTACTTATCTCACGCATTCTTAGTATGCATAAACACGATTCTATTAAATTATTTATTAAATGCTGCTTCATAATTAATATTCAACTCCTGTTTTTTGGGGAAAAATAGAGCACAAATCACCAGCGCGGTTTCAGGCCTTAAAATAGCGTCAAACCTGAACTCTACTATGACTTCATATCCCTGAATTAATCATGCAAAAATGTACCTATTCTTATAAGGCTAGTGGACTTTAAAAGACGATAACAAACTCTCAACCTAAAATAGAAACAAATGCTTTTATCGTCATAAGACATATTGACTGATGGCTCGACTGACGTCGCTCCTTTATTGTTTCTCGTTAGCCTGACAGGATTCCACGTTCATTTCTCTTTTCTTCACAATCGTATGACGTTCGTAGAAATACCCCATCTACATTGTTTTCGCAAAAAAATAAAGCACATGTTCACTTGTTTTTAAGTATTTATCAAGTAAAGGTTTAATGACACATTTACGGACTAAAAGTACGTTGTAAAGAGTATTTACAATAGGTACTTATTCCCAAAAAAACTTTTACGTAAACTATTAATGTTTATACCTCTAATGTTCACAGTTCTGGAACCAAGATACAGTTATGATTCGTCAATATTATCTTCAAATACGAGGAGGCTTTACCTTCTACATACTTTTAACAGAATGACTTCGATATTTATTACTAACCACGATCGAATGACATTTAGTAACCTCGCCCAATCCTCTATTTATGTATTCGATGCACTTAACTCCGTATTGAACAAACACCCAGCGTTTGCCGTGTAAGCGCAAATTGGCTGAACCTTGGCATACTCGCAGCTTAATGCTCCTCAAAATCATCAAGTTTACGTCATGCCACTCCTATGGCCGACCATCCATTATTGTCGCGGCCTGACAACTGGAACCGATGCTGTGTTTGAAAAACTGCGGTGACAAATCGAAAAAAGACCATAGAATCATTCATTAGCCATTGTTCAAACCAATACTGCAATCCCGTTGGAAATAGCAAGTCGGCCAAGACCTACCTACTTCCAGCGTCAGACTTTCCGGTTGTCTAATGTCACCCAAACAAAAGGCTCATCGTAACGTCCAATAGGTATTGTCTCTCGGTCTACAAACTCGATGAAATTATTCTCAATACAATAGGACATTACTAGCTGGAACTGTATTAAAAACCTAAAATGGTAACTGTTTTTTAGGGTTCCGTAGCCAAAATGGCAAAAACGGAACCCTTATAGTTTCGTCATGTCCGTCTGTCCGTCTGTCCGTCTGTCCGTCTGTCCGTCTGTCCGTCTGTCTAACCCCCTTACTAATAAAAAGTTACACAGTTGTTGAACACTGTTTTAAAATGACATTTCCATACTAAACGTCACTTTAAAACACTGTTCAACGAGCGTGTAAGTTTTATTAGTAAGGGGGTAAGTATTTATTTTTAATCGATTTTATAAATGTACAGTCAAAGAATTATTTCATCAAACAGCTATCATTTGCGCATGTCATGGATTATGTTCCCTGTCTGCAACAATTAGTAACTACTACAAAGAACTAAAGCCTGGTTCGTGAGCACGTAGAATTTTGTCCAATGACCCCAAGCTACCCATCCTTATCGCTCGCGCGTAATTATATTGCTGTCGCGACTGTGCGACGCGCACCCGCAATGAGTGTGCGAGCGCTACGGAGAACAAAGATGTTAACCAGCCCTCTCTTTCTTTTGCAGAGTGAATCGAGTTACACGTCCTCGGAGGAGGGCTGCGGAGGCGGCGAGCGGCACGCGGTGCTGAGCTACGAGCAGGTGCGGCGCCTCAACGACGTCATGGACGAGGTGGTGGCCATCCACGGGCGCGGCAACTTCCCCACGCTGCACGTGCGCCTGCGCGAGCTCGTCGCCGGCGTGCGCGCGCGACTCGAGGCGGCGCCCAGCGCGGGCGGCGCCGGCGTGGCCGTGCGCGACGTGCGCCTCAACGGCGGCGCCGCCTCCCACGTGCTCGCCGACCGCGCCCAGCCCTACTCCGACATCGACCTCATCTTCACCGCCGAGCTGCCCACGCACCGCCACTGCGACCGCGTCAAGGCCGCCGTGCTCGGCCACCTCGCCACGCTCATGCCGCCCACCACGCCGCGCCGCCGCGCCAACCCCGCCGGCATGAAGGAGGCCTACGTCTCCAAGATGGTGCGCGTCAACTCCGACGGCGACCGCTGGTCGCTCATCTCGCTCGGCAACTCGCGCGGCCACAAGTCCGTCGAGCTGAAGTTCGTGGACACGATGCGCCGCCAGTTCGAGTTCTCCGTCGACTCGTTCCAGATAGCGCTGGACTCGCTGCTGGCGTTCCACGAGTGCGCGCAGCTGCCGATCGGGGAGAACTTCTACCCGACCGTTGTTGGGGAATCCGTGTACGGAGACTTTGGAGAGGCGTTGCTGCACCTGTCAGAGAAGCTGATCGCGACGCGGCAGCCCGAGGAGATCCGCGGCGGCGGGCTGCTGAAGTACTGCGCGCTGCTGGCCAAGGGCTACCGGCCGGCGCGGCCGGACAAAATCAAAACCCTTGAGCGCTACATGTGCTCGAGGTTCTTCATCGACTTCCCGGAGCTGGGCCAGCAGCGCGCCAAGCTCGAGGCCTACCTGCGGAATCACTTCGTCGGCCGGGATGAAGAGACGCTCAAGCCCAGGTGAGAGTCAAAACCTTTCTATAATAAATGTACCTATTGTATAAATGTAGTCCTTTACATCCTTATTAAATTTATTCAGTAAGCACCAAAAAATACAAGTGAAATGACTTATTGCAAAGTCCGGCAATAAAACTGAATGACTAACCAATTTAGCCCTTCTTGAACTTGAGATTTTCTGTGTCAAAAAGAATGTTCCCCCAAGATTCAAGACTTTGGAGAAGTTTGGTCAATATTTTCGGACCAGTAAGAAGACCGACAGCAAATGTGACAGCGCCCGTTGCTTGCAGGTACCTGAACCTCCTGCACGGCGTGGTTCGGGAGTCGACGGTGTGCCTCATGGGGCACGAGCGGCGGCAGACGCTGGCGCTCATCGAGGCGCTGGCGTGCCGCGAGCTGTGCGCGCGCACGCTCGTGCTGCCGGGCTACGTGCTCGCGTGCGGCGTGTGCGCGGCGTGCCCCGTGTGCCCCGCGTGCCCCGCCTGCGCCGCCGCCGCCGCCGCGCCCTGCTGCGACTGCTACCGGCCGGCGCTGTGCCCCGCGTGACCCAACGCGACCGCCCTCACGCCCACGAATCGACGATGAATTTAGTGCCAAATGTATATAATACAAATAAAATATATCTGTACGATTCCCAGCTGTACTAGCGAGTGTGACTTAGTGATTCTAACGCTTCGTATAGAGCCGTGTTCGCGGTTCGGCTGATGCGAGTGCGGTGTTCGCCGATTGAGCAGCGTGGAGTGTTATGGTTGATGAGTGACGATTGGTGGATCAGGGAGATTATTTGATGGCAAGTACACGGCACGCTCAGTTTTGTTCACACGCAGCGGGCTTCAAATATGGAACTGCACTAAGCTTATGAGTTGGAACCGAGTGGCCGCTCACTACCGCTTGACACTCGCACTCGCAACAGGCCAGGCGCGAACACGGCTCAGCTCTCGGCCCGTTTTTCTTTCGGCGGAGGGCGGGTCGGACCGATCACGATTAAGACGCGGACTCTGTCAATTCGCATTGCTCACTCTACACGATCAATTCGCACGTCAATTGTCGCCGGCTCCGCTCGACTCCGCGCCGCGCTCGCCCGCGCCGCTCGTGAAATAATTTCTAGTCGTACTCCTTTCGTGTTGATAACTTAATATGTTAGCAGTACGAAAATTATTATTCACGCGATTAAATAAATTGTAAAACGGACGCGCCGTAAGTAAGTCCGAGTCGATGGTCTGCCTATAAAAAAGACTATTTAATTATTTTTAAGCTTTTTTTATTATTAATGATTATGTCTCCATAAAAGTAGTGGCATGTCTCTCGCAGTCAAAATCACGAGATTTGGGTTATTCTTGTTTGGATGCACCGTTGAACGCATGATTATTTTTAATTGGCTTGTACATTTTCTATCGACCATTTTGTTACCATGTTTCTGAGCAAATAAACGATTTATTATTATTATTATTATTATTGCACCGAAGCAAGTATCGCGCTAATTGTAACTGAATGGAAGATTTGTATATTTTTGCAAGCGACATTTTGAAGTAAAAGAAATAAGTCCGGCCTTGTCCGATGGCCTTTACGCGAGAAATTCCGTTCTATTTGAATACAACGCGATCGCAACGACCGCAGGCCGCGCGGCCGCCCGCAACTCTGTTCCTATGGGGATATAAAGAACTATTTTACTACGTATTTATTAAATCTCAAAGGATGTATGTATACACTTCTCTTTTTCGTGATCGCTCTAGTATTGTATACGGCTTGGCATACGAAGTAACAAATTAAGATAAATATAAACATATAAAAACATAAAACCCAAAAAAATATTTAGAACTAAGGTGTGTACAATATTAAAGTTCACTCTTAATAATAATGATAAAACTATATAAATATTTTAAGAACATTTACAAGTAGCAGTCATGTTAGTAACAGAGTACTTATGAACATGTTTTTTTACTTAATTAACTTCTCATCAATTACAGTTTATATTAAAGCAGTAGATGGTATGAAAAAATGTGATTTAATTGTTGTAGAATTAACCTGTTGTCGAAGATTATATACCTACTTACATTATTATGTAGTTTAAATCCAATAGAGAGATATACTAATTGTTGTACTTTAATGAGATATAGATATATGAACGATGGTGTAAACAATGTCCGGCCAAAATGTGCATGTTTTTAGATAATTTGCGAATGCATTCAAAACTAAATATAGTATATGTATACAATATATTGCATGGATTACTTGTAGGGCATGGAGTACGCGTTAGCCCCTAGAGCTCCGGAGTAATCAAGTACAATTCGCTTCTAGAGTAGTCTTAATATCGTTAATACTTCGGAACAACCTTATCGACTTTATTGAACGAATTTCCGACTTGCTCACTATCGAACCAAAATTTGAGATCTCATTTTTATTAACTCCATGAAATTTTTATGCGATAGTAAGGGGCGGTCGCCTTCAAGGAGCTTCGCGAGCTGTTCCAATCGCCTAGTAAGGATTCTTCTTAGAAATGTATGCTCTTAATTAATGCTTTTGTAAATTTACTTGGACAGTTGTGTGCAAAAGTCGGGGAAGTGATGTGACTGGTGTATGTCACTCGATACTTGTCACTCGATCACTTGCGAACATCCTTGAGGGCGAACGGCCTTGACACCTCTTTTAGGCACGCGGTTTAGCTCGCATCGGCGTCGGTCTTCGGCAAATGCCACCGAGGCGCCGATGCCAGCTAAAAGGTCAACGCTTCGTTCCACCCATGAACGTTGGGCTTGAATGTAACCGACATTAATTTTGTAACACCGAAGCATATCAGATGCCTTCCCTCTCGTTCGATTCTCACTGTATTATATTAGCATTATATAAGGCATAACCACATGGGCGAAACGAAACGCAGTGCCTTTCGAACAGTATAGCCCTAATTAGTCATAGTTCTCAGTCGTCTGTACTTATAATAAATGAAGTACATAATATAGCTATCGGAATCTAAAGTATATTCCATTAATTTGTTATAAGAGTGAATGTAAGTTAATTATCACTAGTGTTACTTCTCGCTATATCGAGACAGGCGTCTAAGTTGTGATTTGAAGTCTTTTTGACAGGTATTTTAACGTCATCTTTATTATTGTCATAATTATTGTAACTGTGATTGTTATACTATGTCGTAGATCAGCTACTCGTATTGGCATAACTACCTCCTGGCGTAATTAGTATTCATAATGATTTTGTGATTTCTATTGATGTTATGGTAACTTGCGCGGGCTGCTTGTAATGCATGTGGATCGGTGGTGAAATCACAGTGATTTTTGTAACGGGAACACGTCACTTATATTGCTGAAGTGCAACGTGTGGCTGGTCCACCTGCGTTACAGTCGGTGCGTGGGCTGGTCTCACCATCTTCAAGGAACAGCGATTCAGGTGCGATATTATGATCGATGCTTAGTTTTTATCGGACGGCTTATGTTCAAATCGATATTATATTTCGACTTCAACATGGCTATGAGTTCTTGAGTATTAACATGTAAAGAAGATGATGGGAAACGCCTATTATTATGCTTGTCAGACTATAAAAGCTCTTCCATAAAAACAGAAAAACTGTGACGAATTGCTTCCAGAAACGGTCTAAATAATGTTTCAAATTAGTGTTTTTACATGAGAGACATTGCAATATAGTTTAGTGTTTTATTTTTTCTAAAGTTACCATCAGTTTTCTGCTAGCCTTATTTTGTAATGGTTAATTTTAAACTATTATCGAGCACTGGTCAAGGCGCTTGCGTGCCGTGATTGGTCGAGGTGAATATGTATATATTGCAATAGGAGTGTTTCATTGGGCTGAAGGTGTCTTCTCGGAAAAATATATGTAACAAAAGTATGTAGTCGTTAAAAGAAAATGAGAAGATGTTCGAAGTTCTAAGAAAGTTGGTTCTGACTGATTTATTTTGAATTATGTTACTGAGATCTGATTGGTTGCGTATTTTATACACGCTTGATGATAAAGTATTATTAAAAATATATCTTACAGCACTATTGTTTATAACTATGATAAGAAATCGACGAATAAAGTCGTATTTCGATCGATGACGTGATGAATCGATGTCATGAAATCATTCTCTATATTGTGTAATCAAGCGAAAGTGTGTAATATGTAAACCAAACGCTATGTGCATCTTAATTGATTTGCGTGCTCTTTTTAAAATTAGCCGTCGTTGAAGCATTTATTAAAACTTTTTTTGTATTTTAAGAATAGCCAAAAGACATTGAATTGTTTCGGATATGTGTTGCCAGTTAGGTTGCATTGTTTATGGGTGTGGATATAAAGTCAGAATAGTATTTAATTTAATTTGTATGACGGAGTAGTTATGATGTTATGTACGCAAGCGCCTGAAATTAATGCGACGTATCAGAAATCTTTGGGGTGGCCAAACAACAGTTTTGTGGCAAAACAAACTAATATGGAATGCTAAAATTCGAGTGAAACACGTTAAAACGCGAATAAATTATTGCAGCTCGATAAACCTAATTACCCACCATCCTCAGTGATTATTCAGACACGGTTTAATTGTGATTAATGCGAATACACTTATAGAGATGTGTGTAATTTATTTTTTATGACCGCGTTTACCGCACGTCTATTGATATAAATCGTCCTTGTCGAGTTATTTGGAATTTTAAAAGGTTTTGTTTCATTTGTAAACAAAAGAAGTCTCATTCCATCTTGCTGTCTTAAAAAATACTTGCTAGATTCATTTTCTTCTTCCTAAACTCGTTCACGCGTCCGTTCCACTTCTTAAACTGATTGATGAAATTTCACCGAATCCATTCTGTGTAATTTCAGTATTCAGTCAGATATGTTTAGATAGTCTCATTTATTTCCATTGAATGTTCTATGGCATCATGCGGAGATTTAAGAAATCTAATTACCTTCTTTATTGACTCTCACTTATAAATAATCATACATAATACTTAGATCAAATATTCTGATTCTACTTAATAACTCGACCAGTGAATTGTTTGCATCGCTTAAATTTAATTAGTACACACTTCTCGTTATGTATTTGTTTTGCCTCCATTCTGATTGTTTGCCACGTCTTCGATTGGACTGAAACTCGCGTGCCGCCCCGCTCGCTCATATGTTAAAAGCAAGCGGCCGGCAACTCTCGACTCTCTAGCTTAAGTCCGTATCTAGATGACGCGTATTACGCGCCTGTTCTTCTATAATTTGAACGGGCCATATAATAAGCCAGTACATGTCAATATAAACGCGTACACGCGTAATTATAATCGCGTAATACGCGCCAGAACAAACGCGTAACACGCATCATCTAGACACGGCCTAAGGGTTGCTAGTTTTACGCCTTACGTTGTCTAAGCTTAATGTTAGGTTATCAAATATATTTACATCGTAGCTATTATTTTTCTCTTCCAATTTGCCTGTTTCGTGAAACACGAAGCGCTGAGATGTTGTTGCGGTACATAATTACTATATATTTGTGAGGAGTTTTAAGCTATTGTAAATTTTACAGAAAATTAAATAAAAATGTTGTGAAAATAAATTATAAAAAAGTGATAAACAGTGAACTTATGTCTTTTATTTCAAAATCCTATGATCAAACTTTGTAGACTCATAAAATATTAATACCAGTATCAATCCAGGACAGTACAATTCATCTAGATACGATCGTCTGGTTTTTAAAATGCCATAAAGTATTTTTACATAATTGGGTTTGACACCATTTTCCAATAATATCAAAGGACATCTTTTGTAAAAGAAAACTTGATCTCTTGTCTTAAAAACTCAATTAGTTTAGAATTAACTGTAAATTTCAATTTTTTGTTGTTTTGAAATTGAATAAGTTGATCAATTGAGACTAAAATAAATGACGCCTTGGATTGTATTGCCATATTAAAAAATATGTGGAGGAATTACGTTTTGACAGCTCATAAAAAGTAGGTCAATTAAATAATGCTATCTATAGTCTAACAGTCAAGAAAGTAAATTAAAGCAATATTTTTTATCATAAAAAACACACATGACAATATTCGGACCACAAGCTATCAAGCTTCTCAGCTATTGTAAGTCATAATACTTAATAAAAAAAATTGCGGGTAGTTACACAAAATATCTTGTCATGATATTTTACTTGTGAAGATAATCGCAGTTAAATTAAAAATTCATAATGCAAGATGTGTTATAAATATGTGTAGTGTAAGTGAATTAATTGATAAATAGAAGATTTATCTCGAAAGTGTTTTTTACAAGAAGTAACAAAGACATGGACAGTGAGAAGTTCGATGAAGACACAACTTGCTTCTGCATGATGTCTGGTAAGTTTTGAGAAATTATTAATATTGATTGATAAACTAACAACAAAATATGAACTGTGAATAATTTGTTTGATATACCTACCTAGACACATTTTATAATTTAGACATTATTTTTCCCGTGTGGCTGACAGAAACACCGAAACGAGCGATATTCACGCATCCATAGTCAGTCAGGCAGCTAGAAACTTTATTAGTTTTCTCTTGGGTAAGATAAGAATTGCTCAGGACTTTTTCAGCCACAGGACGTCCACTGCTGAGCATTAGGCCTCCCCCAATGACTTTCACATCGCACGGTTAGTAGTGGGCGCGGCTTGCATCCAGCGCCTTCCTGCTACTTTTAAATCCTTGTGTTTTCCGCTAAGGACTTATTGAAATAAAACGTTATGAGCCGTCAACAGAATATGTGGGAATACTAAAAACCGATGACGTCTCCATCGATCTATTTCGACGGCTCGGTTCCCGGAACGAAACGGTTATTTGTCCTAAATACAATATTTATTACACAAGTCACTGGTTCCCAAAGTGTTACAAAGTCTTAAGATAAGGAAAATGAACTAAACGTGATAATTTATACAACAGAGTTTTGTTTGAAATAAAAACATATTCTTAACATTTTCAAATTACTTGTGTTCACGTCAATTAACTGTACGTGATTATTTATTTACATATTTCGAACTAGCTTTCCGCCCGCGGCTTCGCCCGCGTGGAATTTTGTCTGTCACAGAAAACTTTAACACGCGCGTTCCTGTTTCAAAACTATCCTATGTCCTTTCCCGGGACTCAAACTATCTCTATGCCAAATTTCATCAAAATCGGTTTAGTGGTTTAGGCGTGAAAGAGAGACAGACAGACAGAGTTACTTTCGCATTTATAATATTACCTAGTATAGATTAAAAAGTTTTGTTTGAAATAAAAAATATTTTAAATACCTTAACATTTTCAAATTATGTACTTGTGTTCACTGTAACGTCCAGTTACTCGATAGCAATGATATTTTAACTGAAAATGTAGTGAATGCAGGGATTAGATATTGTTATTTGAAAGATTACTGGGAATTATGGTATTATATAAGGTAATGGGGATGGACTTTTTAGAAGCCTTCATCATCATCTCAGCCATAGGACGTCCATTGCTGAACATAGGCCTCCCCCAATGCTTTCCGTGCTGCCCGGTTGGTAGCGGCCTGCGTCCAGCGCCTTCCTGCTACCTTTATGATGTCGTCGGTTTACCTTGTGGGTGGACGTCCCACGCTGCCACCTGTAACTATTGTGCTATCATGAGCTTCTTTCTTTGTTATAGGTAAGTATACTCTAGCTGTAGCAATGTTGGGAACCTGTGCACTAGGCGATCAGCCAGCCTGAGCCATAGATCGCTTTGGCGGGTTTATGTAAAGTTTGACCCCTGAAAAGGTAAGGAATTAATGTGAACCTGTAGACATTCTAGCATTCGTTGATCTCAATTTATTCATAACTTCGTTCTGCTCTATCAGAGAAGAGGGTACACTTCCAATACAGATTGTTATAACTTAAAAAAGAAGTTTTTACCAAGCCCTGGAATGATAAAACTTGTAAGTTCAATGAAGAATGAATTTAACCGCCTCTGTGGTCTAGTGGTAAGACCACCTGCTTCAGACGCAGAGGTCCCGGGTTCGATTCCCAGTGGGGGCAGATTTTTCTGTTCGGTTTGGTTGGTGGTAGGGCTTGTTCTAAGTCCGCCTGGCTAGCTACCACCATCTTACCTAAGTCTGTCGCCATAACAACAATGTTAACAGCATTGTTGTGTTCCGGCAGTTAGAGGTAAGATAGCCAGTTCCTCCGTGGTTGAGGGTTCCGGGGGAAGCTTGCTTCCACCTTCGGCCTGATCATCACTTACCATCAGGTGAGATACAGGCCAAGAGCTTCCTCGTTGTGGAAAAAAAAAAAAAAAAAAAAAANAGCTACCACCATCTTACCTAAGTCTGTCGCCATAACAACAATGTTAACAGCATTGTTGTGTTCCGGCAGTTAGAGGTAAGATAGCCAGTTCCTCCGTGGTTGAGGATTCCGGGTGAAGCTCGCTTCCACCTTCGGCCTGATCATAACTTACCATCAGGTGAGATACAGGCCAAGAGCTTCCTCGTTGTGGATAAAAAAAAAAAAAAAAGATAGTAAAGCGACTGGTCACAAAGAAATACATGACAAATCTTACACTGACCCTGTTATTTTAACTTCATGTACATGTTAAATTATGTATTACATTTATATGTATTGGCATCGTCGCTCATTGTTTACGTACTACAGTGTATTTTACCCCGAATTTTTTCATATTACGTAACTCATGTATTTACCTAATTTCAGTAATTAATTTTGTGTTTTTAGTGTATTTCTTAATAGGAATGCATATCGTTAACATCTTGTCTTTTGTTATCCAAAGTTTTACCTAAAAGCAAAACTACCATCTCAATGCAATAACAAAAATTTTTAAGTAGTTTTTAACCTAAATGAAATCTCCAAGATGCAATCCTACAAACAAACTTTTCCATCATATTAACATGTGAGCCGTTAAACCGAATGCATAATCAACTCATTCATAATCGGGGATAACACGGGATATTAACTCATCTAGCTCAGGTTCACTGCTCGTCGAAATAAGCCAAGTTTATTTATTTGGGCCGAGCCGGGCGTAACTGTTGTTATCGGGGCTGATGTAAATATGTAAACGGAATGAGGATGAATTGACAATACAATATTATACTCGAACAATCTAGAGTTAATATAACCGTGATACTGTCTTCTGATCTTCTTTGAATAGCCTGAAGGGCAAGCAAATAAATGAAGGTAATCCCCTGAAAATCCGTATCGGTAACTCTGGACATTCTAACAGAGATATAAAAATAAAACTATAATTTTCCACATAATGATGCTTGGAAGTTGTCTAAGTGAACACCGTTAAGCACAGGTGCTTATTTATTTAACACTTTTCCAAGTTCCCAATCCGTGTAACCAGAATGGGGGGTGTAGACCAAATCCTCCCTTTGCCTCTGGTAATTTAAAAAGGGGTTGTTCTAAATGACCGGATCATGATGATAATTATGATTTGGACTGTGAATAGTTTGTATGTATGCCACTAGCCTTATACACATTATTATGAACTTGTAGGATCTTCAATGGATCTATAAATAGAGGTGACGACTGATTACCGCTGGGTCACTAGATTTACGCTATTAATTATACTATTTATTATGATAATAATATCTCGTGCGCCAGGCGATTGCAAACATTTAAAACAAAGAGACTTAAGCACTGTTGTTGTTTTCTTAATGCAAGACTTGGAACTAGTTTTGAATTTTAATTTAGTTCTGTGTTGTTACCGTGCAGTTACTTTAGATAAGGCAATCAGTATAAGTTCTTACATCTCGCATAATAAAATCTACTTTTTTTTAGATTTATCGAAAATAATTTCGATGCTCATAACTGTTGTTAAACGTACAATTTATTAACCAAAAACATATTTAAAAATAAACGAAATTGTCTTCATATTAGTTACTAGTTAGTATACCTTTCGGTACTAACGATTTTCTATTTCTAAACTTTGTAAACTCCGTTATACAAGAATTTGATTGTGACTAAAGATTGAGTGCTCGATTCTGCACTTCCATAAATCTATCGTGCGCGAAATCCTTACTTGCGTCACTCAATACCTCTAGCATGAACAACTTTCGTCTTCGAATCGTTAGCGTATTCGATAAAATTCGATATTCAGCCTTCGAATTAATTCAATAAAGTGTCAATTTTCTTTGTCAAAATTAGTTTCGTGCTACCATTTCTCATACTGAGTTTACTTTACGTCACTTTCGGAGGGGCTCTGTTTTAGTTTTCATACTAAATCTTTTGGCGATTCGAATATGCAAACGATTCGAAGTCGAAAGTTTTTCATCCGAGAGGCACAGTAGTGTAGCACTCGTCTTGGAAATTACTTAATATCTACAATTTCAAAGTATTTGCGCACTCTATTAGCACGTTACCAAGAATTCAATTCGGTAGGTATGTTTAAGCAAACAATATTGAAACTAAACAAAGCGTTGCCAAAAGTTTTCTGCGAATTGAGGGCGCCCCCGCTTTAGTAGCAAATTTATTTTTTTACCAAAATAGAAGATAAAAAGTACTAAAAGTATACAGATTACAGAGATCGTACTTGATTATTTTTAAACTGCGTTACATTTTTTTGTTTTGTTTGTGGATATCTTAAGATAAACATTTAAATGGTAATTAATT